CGATCCGTCCAGTTAGAGGTCCCATCTCGCTCAATTGACATCGGAAATGGAACCCTTAGTGAAATTTGATTGGAGTGGTGGTGTCCTTGCAAAATTCTAGGCAAAATCGACTTTCCGGCCACCATGGACGGAGGCACCGGTGGCAGTCTGGTGAGCCTCTGGCGAGGTACTAAAGGATAGAATTTTCATCTCCTAGCGTGGATCGTGGAAATGTCGTTCGATTTTCGATCGGTACGTTCTAAGACCCAGTTTATTTTAATTTTTGATATAAATTGTGACATCCTACCGAGTCGAGTCTTTGCATAGTCGAGTCTTTGCATAGAGTCGAGTCGAGTTGAGTCGAGTTGAACCAAACCCGATCGAGTTTTGGCATAGCGAGTGCTTTGGCATAGGTCAGTCGAGTTGAAGTCGAGTGCACACCCGGTTTGGGGTAGAATGGGATTATTAGTGGACTTACTTGATGAGCGAAAAAAGAGCAAGTGTATAAGGATTAGGATTTATATGGCAATTAAATGTGCTTACATAATGCTTTTTGCTTATATGTGTGCTTATTGTTGTTTTATGTTGAGATATCCACTGAGCTTTATTTGCTCAGCTAGTTACCTGTTTAAATCGCAGGTTTTGAGACTAGTTCGTAGAGGGTCCGTTTACAACTGCTGCCATTCATCTGTAGAAGACTCGGTCTTCAGGGTAGAAACTCATTTTGTTATTCTTTTATGGCATGTACGAGGCACACAGTTGGGCCCAATCCATTTTGTAACTAGTATCATGTCTTGTAAATATTCAGTACATTATTACTATAAGCAATCTCAGCATGATATTAGATTTAATGTTTTCAATGATACCAGTGAATAATGTCAAAGCCAATGACAGGACTTATACCAGTCCAACCAGTTTGTAAGCGTCTCGAACTCGGTTTATTCGGGTTTACGGGGTGGACCTGATGGAGGGATGTTACTATAAAATTTCCAAGCTTAATGTATTGGGTAATTAGTTTGATTCCTTGAATAGATAATTAAATTGTGGGAATTGAAATTTTAGGTTGAAGTGTTGTGATTATTTGGAGATTAGGAGGATTTAATAAATTTAAAGGATAGAAATTTTGGAATTTTATTAAGGTGCAAATTAATGCGTATTTGGAGCTTAACTAGCATTAAAAATAATTAAGATTTATTGTTAGTTATGAATTTAAAACTGAAGTTTGAAGTCTTTGGGTTTTCACCATAACATATAAAATCTTTGATTAGCTGCTAAATAACGACATATGAAAACCCAGTGGCCAAGTAAGTTTGGCTTATCTGATTAACTACAATTTAATTGTAAATTAGTTGTTATTTGAAAATATGTGGATACTTTAGACTAGAAGGATGTGGAGGTTAGGTAGATGTTTATGTTCATTAGTTACTTTATAAATCGGCTTAACCTTATATAGCAAGGTAAAGAAATCTTTGGTGTAAATAGTAAACAGTCAATAATGATGCTTAAGCATGGAATATTAATAAATAAAGTTTTGTATTGTGATTAGATATTTATATTATTATTATTGTTATTTGATATAGAGGATGGGTTATTTGGATTGACTGCTCGATGAATGAGCTGTGTGAATTGAGTAAGAGATTAAATGAATGATTATGGTTATGGCCGATGGAATGAGTTGATATGAATTGCCCGATGGATAGGTTTTGAAAATTTGTTATTGAATTATGGTTTGATCAAATTCTAGGGGAGATTCTGCCGAAATTTCGATGGAACCTAGGTTAGTCTTAATCAATAATTAAATTAATTGATTTATTAGATTATTTCTTTAACTTAACACATAATAAATAAAGTTTTCTAATTATTTTATTATTAAAGTTTCTAATTATTTTATTATATTATTATTATTATTTATTATTATTATTATTATATTATTTATTTAGTTATAATTATTTATTATTTCGGATGATCAATTATTATAAATAATATTGTTGTTGATTACTATTTCCTATTTAATTATAATTAACTATGAATGTCTTACTTGTGTATTTTGCATCATTAATTAATTGTTTTCTATGCTGCATATAATTGCAATACTTGATTAATTGTTTGTGATTAATTGCTATGCCTTGTATGTGGGCGTTGGGATGAAGTGGGTCACCATGGGTTTGTGAGGGCGGTCTACGAGACTTGGCCGTATAGGAGATCGGCGCCCCCGGTTGTGCACCTGATGAATATTGATATGTATAATTATGGATAAACCACAGGGTGCCTTCTGTGGTATGGAAAAGAAAAGAGAGAATGGAAAAAACAATGAGGAGGGCTGGTCAAGTGAGGATTAGACTGGCGGCCATGTATAGTGGGATCGACTTCCTGGTGCACAACATTAATGAGAGGATGGGCCATGTGGGAGGACGCTCATTGGGGTTCAGTTGACGCCACTGGGACTAATTTCCACGTGATATGATTATGTGAAGAGTTTAATTAATTGCGGAGTGCTGTTGTTGCCATTTGTGTGACTACCTGTGTGATCATATAATTAGTCGGGATGACTAGATTTAATTATTTACACATTTTTTCAGTTGTGAATGCATGTGTTGTGCAATAATTATATTCATTTAATAAACTCACCATTCTTCTTTTGTTTAATCTTTCAGGAAATGTAGATTCTTCTTAAACCCAGTTAAAGCTCTTTTCTTTTTCCTCGTAGAGCTAGAAAATAAAATTTTAGAGTTAGCAATTTATTTAAATTATGTAAGCCGTATTGTTAACAAGAATCTAGCTTTGCTTGTTGAAACTCCGCAAGTTGGTAGAATTTATAACTTTTAGCGTGTATAATGTTAGATTGAAATAATTCTGTGAGCTCATATTATAAAAAAGATGTATTGTTAAATGAGTTAGCAATTATTTAAATTATGTAGCCGTATGTACAAGAATCTAGCTGCTTGTGAACTCCGCAGTTGTAGAATTTATAAACTTTTAGTCGTGTATTAATGTAGATGAAATAATTCTGTGAGCTCATATTATAAAAAAGATGTATTGTAAATTGAACTCGATCTGTGAAATGTTTAAGATGTTAAATTTAGGCCCATATATAATATAATTACGAGATTTGTTTTGCATAGTTTTATGGGCTGAATGTTTGAAATTTATATTGAGAAAGTGAAATTTTAGTGATTCAGACTTACTACGTGCTTCGGGCTTCGGGACTTTAAGCTTACCTGGGCCCTAGTGTCGGTCCGGCCCATGGAAATGGATCGTGACAGGTGTTATCTATTTGGAACTTTGATAATAGAAAATTTGTAGCTAAACTATTTTAACATATTCTAATGGTGTTTAATTCTTCATCTTTGGGGTTGTTCTAGTAGAAGGGTTGACACTTGAAAGATTACACGAAAAATCTGACTGGAAAAAGAATATTGTTTTTCTTAATTAAAATAAAAGGCACATTTTAAATACAAAGTATAATTTCACAGGTTGTTTTAATATAATAACTAGTAGTATACTTTGTATTATTATGCAAATTTAATATCTTTATCTATAATATTACAAATATTGTAATAATATTTTGAAATATATAATCTGATCGGTGAAAAAATTTATAATCTAAATTATTTAAATTTCATATTTAATAATTTTATTGGTTAAGGTGGTTCGCGACTTAAATCTCCGTAAAGGTAACAACACAAATTTGATCTCTAAAAGCTCACTTTGCTGACACAGCCAAATCCTTTTGCCTCTACGACTCGAAGGAATAAACCTTCTGATTATATAAAAAGAGAACAATATAGACAAATCATTTGAAAATCAAGTGTGTATAAAAGATATATAAAATTGAAAGAAAATGAAATATATATTAAAAAACCATTGATTTTAAATTATTTTTAAATAAACTAAAAATAATAAAATAAAATGAATGATAGACGTATACACAGTCCTCGTTTCATTCCACATAAATCGGTCTCTTAAGATTTAACAAAATCTTTCTAACTTGATAGGGTAACAGCAATTGATTCACAAAAATTCCTCCTACCTATTAATTCAAAATCCAAGACAATAATCTGAAACTAGCCAGAATCATATCAAGCCTCTAATAATCCCAAGCTTACATCAAGCTTGAACAAAAAGAAATGGTTTTATTTCAATTTAAATCTCTAAATATTTCAAAACTTACCTACTGTTTTATTTTTTTTTTCTACAGGTACGACGTTTCGATTAAGTCTAGAAAATATTTTTTTAAAAAATATATTCCAAATTTATCTTTTTTATATATTTTTTGCTCATTTTAAAGAAGAATGAAATGATATTCCAAGTAATTTTATATTTTCACAAATTTAAAATTACTCAGAAAAATAAGTTACTTAGTATAATTTTAATTAGTATGATTAGTATTACCAAATAACAAAAATAAGTTACTTAGAAAAAGAAATTTTACATAAAAATGTTTTTTCAAACATAAGTTATCTTCCAAAAATGATAGAAAATCTAAACCGATTTTCTGATATTTAAAGTTTTCAAGAAAATTAATCAATAGAAAATATTTTTAGAATTTAAAGAAAAATCAAATTCTTTAGGTTCCCTGTTGAGAAAAGAATAAAAAAAAAAAATTTCTAGACATGGATTATCGGTAGCCAATAACTCCAATCATCAATTATGATCACATTTTAACATTTTTTTTTTTTCTCAATGATTACCTACATTTAACATTTCTAATCATTTAATAATAAATTTGTAAAATATGAAATTTCACAATTCTTAATAGTCTCATGAATTAAAATTTTAATATTTTTTAACTAATTTTCAATACCGTAGCAAGATAATAAAATTAACTGTTTGGAAAATATTTTCTAAAATTAGAAAATATTTTCCAAAAGATAAGTTGTTTTTTATTGGAAAAAAAAAAAGTCTCGTTCCACAGAAGTCTCTTATCTTTTCTAGCTCATAATGCATATTCTCATTCTAATTTTAGAAAATATTTTCCAAAAGATAAGTTGTTTTTTATTGGAAAAAAAAAAAAAGTCTCGTTCCACAGAATTCTCTTATCTTTTCTAGCTCATAATGCATATTCTCAAGCGTCAAGACAACTCTACGTATAGCCAACACAAGTATGAAAAATCTGTGCATCTATGACTGTAGCATGCAGGAAACTACCACTATACATACACAAGCAGCCGATCCATGAACTAAAGGAAGTTCCTTTGAAAGTTTCCTGAGGAAAACCTGGAAGACAAACCCTGAGCCATGTTGTCTGAATCAAACTTTATACTCTTCCTTCCAGCCACGATGTCTTTCTCGCGATCCCAAGGCTTCCATGGATGCTGCCCAACCCAGTCTTCTTTCTCTGGCTGCTGCTGCTTGGATTTTTTCTTTGAACGAGTTACGACCTCTTCTTGGTGCTTTTGTACTAGAGATTTTGATCTTTTTGCTTTATTGTACTTATCTACCAAATCTGCATCTGCACTTACATTTTTCTTTTCTTCTTCATTTAAAGCGAGTGCCGCAGCCTCATTGTAAGCTTCCAAGTAACTGTCATGTGACATTAAATTCATTGGCGTGTCATTTTAACCATAAATGAATAAACAGAAGCAAGAAACAATTAAATGCACATTTCATTTAGAACATAACAAGCATTCTTACTTCATCTTTGCTTTCTGTGCTTTATCTAATGGGGTATCTGTCCAAACGCTAGTGTCACCACGTCCTTCCTTAGAGCTCATGCTGAATTTTGTGGAATGCATACTCATGCCGGGCTGGGAGTAATAAACACAAGAGGTGTTAGTGTTGGAGAGGAGACAACAGCAAATATGGAGAATGATTAAAAAACAAACTCAGCTATGAAAAAAAAAAAAAAAAAAGGAATTTTCTTTCTTTAAAGCATCTAATGTATTACAAAATGTATGGGACAAAAGGTTTCTGAAAACACATGTGCAACAGTGCAGGACAAGCAGAAAAGAAAAAGGCCTTACTTTCCTTTCAGGAGGCAGTGTTGTCATCCATTCATCTCTTCGGGCTACTTTAACTTCCACTTCTGCAAGGAGCTCATCATCACCCTCCATTGATATACCTGAAAACAACAGCTTTTTTGTTTTAGATGAAGAGCCTCCATATGTTATGAATCAATGAACCGAGACATTTAGGCAACACTTATTATCTGGAAACACATACTACCACTACAAAGAGATGGGCGTGGCGATGCAACAAATTGCATAAATCGTGCACTAGATGTAATGTCTAAAGATGGTTATGTTATTACTTCATTTTATTCCTTGATGATGTCAAATACACTTGCAAACATCAGACAAATCAAACAGTAAAGATACACACAAGCAACCACTTTTCATTTCAGAAACATTGTGGTACCGGTAAATTTTGACTCTTAATAATTCAGATGCTTACAGTGAACAAAAAAGAATTTGAGCTGCACACACACCGAAAAAAAAAAAAAAAAAAAAAAAAAAAAAAAGAATTTTGAAGCTGCAACACACACCGAAAAAAAAAAAAAAAAAAAAAAAAAAAAAAAAAAAAACAACTCATGTGACTTTGACACGATACATTAGGAAGGCTTGTCAAAGCCTAGTAAATCACTACAAGTGCACATGAAGAAGTAATGCAGAATACATTCCTTCCCAGTTCCCACCGGCATAGTTCATGTTGTTAAGGATTAGTTGTAAATAGAACTCTATTAGGAGTTATAAATAGAACTCTATTAGGAGTTAGATTCCTAATAGGTTTATAGTATCTTGTATGTGTAAATATATGTGTCCCTAATGATGAATCAAATAGAAGAAAATATTTTTTTTTCCACATTAAATCTACATGGTATCAGAGCCTGTGGCTCTTAAACTTGATTTTTGCCGTTTGCATAGAAAATTCCGGCGTTCCCTCAAAATCCGGTCGCCGGATTTCCTGCGCGTGGTGGCTGTTCTAGGTTCACTGTTTTGTCTCACCGCCCACTCCAGGAGCTGCTCCAGCTGCCGACCGGTCTTCCCTCAAAATCCGGTCACCGGATTCCCTGCGCGTGGGCCTCTTGCGCTGATACAAGGTTCTGCTACAGTACCACGTGCCGGCGCGTGGCGGCCCGTCCGGCTGTTTCCGGCGATCGGAAATTGTTTTCTGGCTTCGTTTTTATGTCAGCAGTCTACTCAAGTAGTTGTTTTTCCGATCCGGCGAAGTTTTGGTAGGGAGCGTACTCAGTTCTGTCAATTTGGCATTTCAAGTTACCTTTCGCTCTTGTTTTCATTGAAAGACTATTTTTTTGTGTGTCTATTTCTGCATTGCTGGTAGCGTGTTTAGTTTTTATTAATAATGGATCCTTCACCTACAGATTCTAAAACTACTACCACTGAATTGATCCCAGCAATGAATAAGATCACAAAACATAAATTGAAAGGAACTAATTATTTAGATTGGAGTAAGACAATTCGAATTTATTTGCGAAGTGTTGAAAAAGATGATCATCTAATTTTGCGAAGTGTGAAAAAGATGATTCATCTAATTTGATGATACACCAACTGATGACACAGGCAAACTTGGCTCAGGGGAAGATGCTAAGTTATTTCTACTGATTTTCGCAATTTTCTATTTACAGTGAAGTGGGTTGGATTAATCAATTCATTTGTGAGTTTGTTAAGAGTTTGTTAAAGAATTAATGAAATATCTTGAATTCTTGTATTCGGGAAAAGGTAATATGTCTCGTATGTATGAGGTCTGCAAAGGATTTTATCGTGCTGACCAGCGAAATAAGCCCCTTACAGCTTATTTCATGGAATTTAAAAAGATTTACGAGGAACTCAATGTTTTATTGCCTTTTAGTCCCGATGTTAAGGTTCAACAAACGCAGCAAGAACAAATGGCTGTGATGAGTTTTCTTGCAGGTCTTGCTCCAATTTTTGAAACTGCCAAATCACAAGTCCTTTCAGGCAGTGATGTTACCTCTCTTCAGCCTCTCTTCAAGAGACTTTTGCTAGATTGCTACGTACTAAAGGTTTTCATACGCCTTCCCCTTCTGATAATAATACCCTTCTGAGTCGTAATCAGGTAGCTTGACAGCCAGGAAACAGAGGAAGAGGAGGAAATAACCATAGTAATGGACCAATCACTCGGAAGGCAAGCATTCTTATCTGCCATTATTGCCATGAACTGATAAATAAGCCACTAAGGGTAAATATGGCAACTCAAAATTATGCAGATACCTTCTTCTGACAACAATTTTAACAATTTCTGCTGCGGAGTATGCTGAGCTCTCTAGATACCATTCTTCTAAGTCTACTGATTCCTCAATTGCTGCTGCTGCCAATTCAGGTACTCCTCCTTCATGTCTTATGTCTACCTCATCAGAGTGGGTCATTGATTCTGGTTGCACCGATCACATGACAGGTAACCCTAGTCTCTTATATTAGCACCGCCAATTCCATTCCATCTCTTCCATTGTCTTCTGTTTTTTGTTTGCCTCGTTTTTCGTTTAATCTATTATCTATTAGCAAAATTACTCGTATGCTGAATTGTTATGCTGAATTGTGTTGTCAAATTTTAATTCCTACATATTGTGTGTTCAGGATCTTTTTGACGAAGCGGAGATTATTGGTAGAGGACGTGAGTCTGGTGGCCTTTATTCTTCTGGATGAACACCGTTTCATTATCTTTGGCTTGTGCTGGTTGCTCTTATCCCTCCTTCTTGAGGTTCATTTGTCGTTTGGGTCATCACGTCATTGTCTACTTTAAAGAAGTTGTGGTCCGCAGTTTTAAGTCTTTTATTCAATTTTTAGGACATGTGAATCCTTGTCAATTGCCAAACATTCATCGTTTTACCCTAGTTCCTTCGAGTCAATAAACGGGTTTCATCCCCTTTTGAGTTTTAGGTTCATTCTGATATTTTAGGACTCCATGTCCTGTTATTTCTAAAACTGGCTTTCGGTATTTTCTGTAAACTTTTGGGATGATTATCTCGTTGCTACTTGGTTATTTTAATGAAAACTTATTCTGAGATATTCTCTATGTTTCTGTTTTCTTTTTGTGCTGAAAATTAAAACTCCAATTTAATACTTCTTTCGCATATTGCACAGTGATAATTGCTAAAGAATACCTATTGTAAGTTCCTTCCAATCTCTATTTATTCACAAAATCGGTTATTCTCCATCAAACCATACTTTGTGTTTATACTCCTAATCTCCAAAATGGTGGTTGCAGGGTAAAGAAAGAATCGGACATCTTTCCAATTGAGGTTGCTAGGGCACTTCTATCCAATAATGAAGGTCCCTAAAACATTTTGGGCTGATGCTGTTCTCTACTGCAAGTTTGCATGCCTTCCAGCAAGTGCAATTCCTTATAAGTCTTGTTTCCTTCTATATACTTCTATTCCATTGGAACCTCGAATGGTTTGTACTTGTTTTTGTTGTGATGTTCGTCCACAGGTTTCCAAATTAGATTCCAAAGTTCCCTTCGTTGTGTTTTCCTTGGGGTATTCCGGCATCAAAAAGGGGGTATCGTTGTTACTCTCCGCATCTTTGACCGTTATCTTATTTCTGCAAAATGTCCACATTTTCTGAAGAATACTCCATTTCCTTCTTCTATAGAATAAGAGTGAGGGGCGAGGATTGATGAACCTTTTAGTCTATTTGCTATCCAGGCAAATTCATAACTCTCCTGCTCCTACTACGTATCCCTGGACCTTGGCTCCTGCTCCTACTTCCAGCGTCTGCTGCTCCTATTCACCTCTCCATGGCACCAAACATCTACACGCCCTCGGTTGTTGAACAGGTTTTTTCCAAAGAACCAGGAAAACTCTTGACTCATTCCTCCACGGACCGTTTCAAACAGAAGATCCGTTCTCTCCAACTCAACCTGAGGCCTGTGCCTTCCACCTCACCCAGTTCAGACCATTGACCTTCCCATTGCTCTTTTGAAAAGGTTAAACGCAGGTGTACCTACCCCTATTATCCTCTTTTGTCAGTTATGATTCAATCTTTCTTCTTCATTCTCGTTGTTTTGTAAGTAACTTAGACTATGTCTGTTTATTCCTAAAACTGTTGTCCAAGCTTGTCCCATCCTGGGTTGTGTCCCATCCTGGTTGGTGTGCAGCAATGAAAGAGGAGATGGCTGCCTTACATGCTAATGGTACTTGGGATCTTGTGCCTCTCCCGGCAGGTAAGAAAGATATTGGTTGTAAGTGGGTTGTCACCGTTAAAGTGAATCTTGATGGGCCTGTTGCTCATCTCAAGGCTCACCTAGTTGTTAAGGGCTATTCTCAGATTTATGGCCTTAATTATTCTGATGCTTTTTCTCTTGTCGCCAAATTGTCTTTTGTTCGTTTATTTATTTCTTTAGCAACTACTTTTGACTAGCCTTTACATTAGCTGGACGTTAAGAATGTCTTTCTTCATGGGGATCTTCAAGAGGAAGTTTACACGGAGCAACCACCAGGCTTTGTTGCTCAAGGGGAGTTGGATAAAGTGTGTAAACTTCGAAAATCTCTTTATGGTCTAAAACAGAGTCCTCGAGCTTGGTTTGGTAGATTTTGCAATGTGCTACATCAATTTGGCATGCAGAAGAGTACTTCTGATCATTCTGTATTTTTCAGAAGTGCTAAGACTGGTTTGATTCTACTTGTGGTTTATGTTGAACACTTGGTTCTGATTCTACTTTGTGGTTATGTTTTGCTGACATTTATTACAGGGAGTGATTCAGCCGACATTTACATCACCTCAAGTAACATTCTCCATGACCCAGATCAGTTCTAGACAAAAGACTTAGGATTGTTGAAGTATTTTTTGGGTATTGAAGTATTTAGGTGTAAGAGAGGCATCTTCTTATCTCAAAGGAAGTATATTCTTGACTTACTGAAGGAAACTAGAAAGTTAGGTGCCAAGCCATGCAGTGCAAGCCATGCAGTGCTCCAATGACTCCAAATTTCCAACTTTCAATTGGTGGTGAGCTATTTGATGATCTTGAGATGTGTAGAAGGTTAGTGGGCAAATTGAATTATCTTACCGTAACACGTCCAGATATTGCTTACTCTATGAGCGTCTTGAGCCAGTTTATGTCTTCTCCTACTGTTATCCATTGGAAAGCTTTAGGATAGATTTTGTGCTACTTGAAAGGTAATCCAGGTCGTGGCTTCCTTTACAGTAATCATAGGCATTTGAACATTGAATGTTTTTCAGATGCGGATTGGACAGGTTCGAAGGTTGATAGAAGATCAACTTCAGGATATTGTATTGTTGTCCTTGTAGGTGGAAACTTTGAATATCATGCGATGAGTTAAGAAAACAAAAAATGTAGTCTCATGATCGAGTGCTGAATCAGGAATATCAAGCTATGGCACAATCTGCTTGTGAAATTAATTGGATTTCGTCAGTTGTTTAGAGGAAATTGGCTTCAAGTCATCCTTGCCTGCCAAAGTTGGCGCCTATTGCATGTTGATTAATCAAAGCTGGCTCTTCACATTTGCCATCAAATCCAGTATTCCATGAACGAACAAAACATATCGAGATTGATTGTCATTTCATTCTGTGAAAAGATTTACAACAGGTTGTTATCTCTACTAGGACACGTTAAAACAAGTTGCAACACGTAGGAGATACTTTACAAAGAGTCTAAACGGACCCGGGTTGGGTACTATGCTTTTGTTAACAAGTTGGCATGATTTTAATACTATGCCTCCAACTTAAAGGGATGTTTTAAGGATTTAGTTGTAAATTAGAACTCTATTATGGAAGTTAGGATTTCCTAATAGGTTTAATAGTCATTCTTGTATGTGTAATATATATGCTGGTCCCTTAGTTGCATGAATCAAAATATAAGAAAATCATTTTTTTTCCACATTAAATCTACACATGTTATGGAACGGATATAGCCTGATATGGGAATTTAGGAAAGATGATATAGTATTAGGAGTTAGATTCCTAATAGGTTTATAGTATCTTGTATGTGTATATATATGTGTCCCTATTGATGAATCAAATAGAAGAAAATATTTTTTTTCCACATTAAATCTACACATGTTATGGACGTATAGCTGATATGGGAATTATGGAAAATTGATTAGTTAGATTATTAGCTTAAATAAGATTCAATAAAACATGAATTCCTAATTAGTATAGGAGCCCTAGATTTTAGTTAGTCTATCTATTCCTAAATAGACTAAACTTTCTATTTTTATATTTTCCTGTTTATCATTGTAACCTCTATTTGACGAGGTGTTACTGTTAGTAATAAAAATAAGTTAGAATCTTTCCCAAACACGACATTGGAGCTCCCTCTAATGAGGTTCAAAGGTGACAGCTCCCTCTTTGATGAGCTGAATCTCTTCCTTTAACAAAATAGGTAGATCCCGTAATAAGAACAAGGACCCAAATCCCTTGCTTGAGAAAGACAATGTAGTACAAGGACTCAAATCCCTTGCTTGAGAAAGACAATGTAGTACATCGCCCTGTGACACGATCCCTTACGCGAGCACATAACAATGTGGTATTAGAGCCAAACACCATGCACGATCAAGGATTGCATGAGGAATTGAGAAATTTGGTGGCAGAATTGGAAACAAAAACGAATGCACTGTTGCAGAAATTATCTCAACAATTGGAAATTCTCCCTACTCTTACCAACCAATTGCCTGGCAAGGGGCCAACTGAGGAAACAAATGCAGGGCACAACAGTTTAGGCCAAACAAGTCATGTGGAGGATAGGCTGCAACCACGAACGGAGCATAATGAAACTGTTGGTGGAATCAACAGCAACGGAACTGCGTCGCGATATACTAAGCTCGATTTTCCTACATATGATGGCAGTAATGACCCCTTAATCTGGTTGCATAGATATGAATAGCTTTTTACTAGTCAACGGACTGCAGTAGTGGACCGAGTCAGCCTAGCCATCTTCCACGTGTTGGGAGAAGCCCAACTATGGTATTACAAGTTGCAGCAAGAAGAACCAGACCTCACGTAGAACATGTTTACATAATATTGCACTCTTAGATTTGGGCACCCTTGCAAATTAATCCCCTCGAGGACTTAGTTAATTTAAAACAAACAGGGACAGTAGCAGAGTATTTTCAGGGGCTGTTGTCTCGAGCAAATTTGGTGCGCCGGGATCAACAGGTGAATTTATTCACAGCTGGGCTAATTGACACTATCATTAGAGGTTGAGATGCAATCTCCAGCCACTTGTGCAAGCCCCTAGCTAGGGCTTTTCAGATGAAGCAACAGCTACCTGCAATGTTGCACCACCGTGATGGTACCACCTCTTCCTTCGCCACCAAGTCCAACAACTCCATTCACAAACCAATTGCATCCCAAGGCAGCGCAGTACCAGGATACTCCAACAACGCCTCCTCTGCTTTTATTAAAAAATTAACAAAGGCAGAAATGGAGGAAAGGCAAGCCAAGGGATTATGTTACAATTGTGATGATCTATTTGTTCCAAGGCACGAGGCTGTTTTGGTTGGAATTTTATAGTGCACCAAACTCATCCATTCAAGAACATGAGACAACACCAGCTTGAGGACAAGCATTTCTTTCTTGAGGGGAGTAACGTTATGGTCGTATAGCATACATGGGAATTATGGAAAATTAGTTAGTTAGATTATTAGCTTAAATAGGATTCAATAAAACATAGATTCCTAATTAGTATAGAATCCTTAGAATTAGTTAGATTTAACTCAAACAATAAAGCATGGATTCCTAATTAGTATAGGATACCTAGATTTTAGTTATTCTATTCTTAAATACACTAAACTTCCTATTTTTATAATTTCCTAGTTTATTATTGTATCCTCTATTTAAAGAGGTATTATTGCTATTAATAAAATAAGTTAAAATCTTTCCCAAACACGAGATTGGAGCTCTCTCTCTCTAATGAGGTCCAAAGGTGACAGCTCCTTTTGATGAGTTGAATCTCTCCCTTTACCAAAATAAGTAGATCACATAATAAGAACAAGGGCTCAAATCCCTTGCTTGAGAAAGACTACATAGCACATTGCCCTGTGACACGGTCCCTTATGCGGGCGCCCTGTGACACGGTCCCTTATGCGGGCACATAACAGTTGAATCCTACATGTGACCCAAGCCTATTGGAAAGAATCATCTACTCATTACTTGCAACACGCATTGTTTAGTTGGTTATTTAGCAATTTTCCATCTAATTTTTCTATGAAAGGCACTATTCGACAACCATAAAAGCATATCCAAGAGATTTACGAAAATAAGTCATAATGTTGAAGTTGCTAATGCTTTTATTAATTATGACCAGTCTAAACAGCAAGTCACCACAACAATCAGCATGGCACCATAAAATCATTATTAAAAGTTAATTATAAAGATGGATAGGATCTGATTAGAGGAAATAGAATGAAATGGTAAATCTGACCACTAACCAATAAAAATTCAGCATTACAAGTAAAATTAAACCATTTAATCACTCGTGAAAAAGTTCTAAAAAAAGTAAATTCAATAACCACAAACAAAAGAAAATAAATTAAAATGGACAAAGAACAAAATTAAGTCCAACATATTAAAATTATCCCCACACCAAAAAACTCTTAAAACAACAAAGAAAATTACCTAAACATAAATAGATCTAATTTTAGATGAATGATACATGAAAAAAAACATCTTTGTTTTTCTTTTTAAAAAAAGAAATACATCTCAACCAAATTATATGCAAACACAATTTCTCAAGGAAATAAACCTCATAAGGAAAAAATATATATAACAATTTTCAAAATAAAAAACTGGATTTGCTCTACATGATAGGAGAGGGAACTTTGATGAGATATTGTGATGAGAGAATGACTAATTAATGCATAGGTTCTGTATTAAGCTTTACCTTAGGCATTCTTGAAACTACAAAAATAGAAAGGGGTAATATAGGAGTTACCACCAAAGATATTAATAAGGCAAATAACTTTACCACCTCATCCCACTGATTTATGTTCAAATTTGTGGGGTTCTAAGGAATTTGGGAGGTTCTAAAAGACCTTATAAAAGCTGCACTCTACTTTACCATGTTCTTTTCCAAACACAATGTCATGCCTTATTCAACCTTCATAAACCATCCAAATAGAGCACAAAGCTCTGTTTGGGTTGAGTTCGGAGCTTCTTTTCATAAATGCACTTTGCTTATATATATATATATATTTTTTTTATAGCACATCAGAAAACTGTGGTCTGGGAAAACCCAAAAAAAATCTAGCATTTTAAAACCATGAATTTTTGCTATATCATTAATATTGCAAATGCAGTTTGCCAAACGCACCTCAAACACAATGCTAAATAGACACTACCTTGTTCTTGATAAATACGCTTGACATAATTGTCAATAAAAATTCAACATCAACTATCTCTAGAGGCATACTGATGTTTCACCCAAAATTGAAAGCTCCAAATATATATTATTATGATCCAGTTATCAAAAGAATTGGAAGATAAATGTTCGGCAAAAAGTGAATCTAGTTCATCCATAAAATCAAATCTACCCCTAAACACTCCAACCCATGCACAGGGAGAGGGATTATAGCCTTCAAAAGTAAACAACTATCTGCACAAGTGATTAAATACCTTGTGATCTTCTCCATTGTGCAGCTTCACGCATAGCTTTCAACTCAACCTATCGAAGTAGAAATCACTAACATAAAATGTTGGCCTTTAAATAAATTTAGGAAACCATAAGGATGCTAGTAATTTGTTAGAAGTATAAACCTCAAATGCTTCCTTCTCCTCCTTGAGTTTAATTTTCTCATCCAGCAATTTTCTCTACAAAAACAAACAGGGATAGGAAGCAGAAAGATCAAACCCCTTGAACATACAAAAAAAGGTTCAAAGCATATGATCGATAAATGAAAACACACACATGTAAATGAGCAGCAAGTACCAACTAAATGCCACAAGCAAGTTGAAAACATCAAAAGGCAGAATGCAAAGTCCCTAATTGCTTAACACCAAAAAAAGGAGAAGTTACTTTCAGCAGTCACTAATGGCATTTGAACAACTTTAAAAGATGCCAATTCCAACAGTCCCATCATGTTCCAAGTAACTTCATGTTAAGGTCTTGGCATCAATTAGAGGAACAAGTCATCAGCACAAAAAGATCGTTATGTTTTCTGTTCCAAGTAACCTCTTTATGCTAATGTTAACAGTCTCATTAAGAAACGCCTCACTCCACATCATTGTTTCAGATATTTCCATCAAACAAAACACAACCATGTCTATGGTTCAGTCTATGTTGCCCTTCCTTCTCTTTAGTAATCTTTTTTATTTTCATTTTTAAAACTATCCTATTCACTACCACCACCAGTAGACACTGACCATACCCCATCACCCAACCCCCAGGTGAGGAGAAAGATAAATTAATGATCATATACAATGGAAAATCACAACAGTTTCATCTATAAACCAGTCTACCCTAGGATTTGTTTGCTTCAATATTTTATTTTATATCTGCTGATCTCATGACACAAACATGCAAAAAATATTTAGTGATAGTGAAGATTTACATGCGTCTTCTGCAAATTTCTTAGCAAAAAAGATGGTTCAAATAGCTAGACAAAAGACACAGATTGAATAAAGTAACTGCACCATATCACAGCAATTAAACTCAGGCAATAGAGAAGCAGCCCAGGTAAAAAATCTACATATTAAAAGCAAACCAAAAAAAAAAAAAAAAAAAAAAAAGCAAAAGATGGTTCAAATAGCTAGTACAGAAGACACAGATGTGAATTAATAACTGGACCATATTCACGAGCAATTAAACTCAGGCAATAGAGAAGCAGCCCAGTGTAAAAATAAGATCTTCTACATATTCAAAGTCAAAACCAAAATAAAAAAAAAAAAAAAAAAAAAAAAAAAAAAAAAAAAGATTACTTCAAGCTGCCACTCAAGCTTTAGCTCATGCAGTATAGGGATAAGTCAAGTGTTAATTCGTTTCCAACCTTTAAGCTTTATGATATAATACAGAAAGGGAGAGAGAGCACAAATTAATGAAATCATAATCAACACAAAAATCATGTGGATATGAGAAACTTACCTTCTCTGGATCTTGTAACTCTTTAAATGCTTTGTTCAGTTTGATAAATGCTTGATGGGCTTGAGGATGAGAACACTTGTCTGGATGCACCAAAAGAGACAGCTTCCAGTACCTAGGGAATGACAGCATTATTCATCAACATATAGATTTGACAGAAAATGATCAGGGATTTTTCAATTGAAGTACAAGAGTCATACATATGAAATAAGCCTGACTGAAAGGTATGGACCAACACATAAATGTTCCGGTTACTATTCATGCCTATAAATCCTATCTCCACATGTAAAGAAATACCAATAGACTGTTCCAGCATGTCCATGAGGAATAAAAATCATCACTGACAAATATCCTATCAAGAAAAACTTCTTCGCAAGATCTCCCATTTCTATGTTATTAACCATAAAGAAGGATATAATGTGGGTTCTGAGAGTGTTCTCTTTGTAACTTAAAGTCTCATGTCATGATTGATGCCTCTCACACTACTTGCTCACTTTGGAATGAGATTAATAAAAAACCAAATTGCTGAGAAAAAATAAAGCAACCCACAAGTAATTGACATCTCATTTTTTATTGCATACAATAATTCAACAACTTACCTCTTCTTTATATTTTCGGCAGACATTTTATGATTTACTCCTACAATATCATATGGGGAATCATCTTCAACGCCCATAATTCTTGTGACCTGTTCAAATAATTAATCAAGTTAGATGCACTTCAGAAATGAAAAATTCCCTAATGTTGTAAAAAAATAAAAGAAAATAAAAGAAAATAAAAGAAAAAAGAAGAAATCCATCAAAAAAGGAGATTAGTAACAAGATTAGGACCACGAAGAGCATATGAAGGTAAAGAATCAACTGCATCTCCCTTTAATATTTAAGCTTCTTTCCACTCCATGAACGTATGGCATATAGATCAGGACACAACAATGAGAGGTCCTCAGCATAAAATACTGCTCACCAGAGAGGGGCTAAGAAAGTAATAATTCCATAAAATATGTTTGCAAGGTTTTCAAAGAAATCTCTTAAAACTTGCTACCAAAAAGGACAAATACCTACATACATAACAAGAACCTTAATAACTAAAAGGGGCAAAGGGAAAGGGAAGGGAGAGAGTGGGATGGAATGCAAAGGAGAAAATTCTTGTCTTATGATGTTTGGAAAATCAAAAATTAGATGTGAAAGAAACGAGAAAGATATATTTTTATTTTGTTTAGATAGGTGGGAGGGGAAGGGAAGTTATATTGAAAAGGAAAAAAAAAAAATCCATATGCATTAATTTAGTTTTAAGTGTAGTAAAATTATAAGGTTAATGAATCTTCATTAAGTTCCCTTCTCCTTTTACAAAAATTAAATGCCAAACAAGATAAGATGGTGATTTCCCCTCCTTTCCCTTGCTTAACCCTTTAATTCACCAAGGCGATGCATAGGGTAAGTGCACAGTTGAGAATCCAAAAAAAAAAACAGAAATGGAAGTTTATGATTTGCAAGTTAGGTATAATTAGCTTGAACATATTCAGTAAATATAAACTATCAGGATTCAAGATAAGTAAAATCAGGAACCTCTTCAAACCGCTCTGCTTCATTTGCTGATTCAGCCTCAGCAACCACAGCAGGTGGGGGAGGTCCTATGAATAGTTCAGTATTTTCCTCCAACTCAGCATCTCTGGAATTTTACATCCAAAATCACCATACAGCCACAACATCAACAAGCAATTACATCTTGACACAAATGCAACAAAAAATAACAGCAAGTCTAGTAATCATATGTTAAAACCAAAATCATATGTGTGAAACCAAACTAAATTGATAGTCAAACAAATGAAAAATTATGGTTAAATAAAAGCATTTAGTGCGAGTACCTCAACTCAGCTTGTGCTTCTGTTAATTTTGCCGCAGCAGCAAGTAATTCAGCAGATGGCATTTCAGGGCCGATCATCCTTCAAACAAATGTAAGTAGACTAACATGAAACTCATCTTCTTTTGTATCCATAAATCTATAAACAAATGCATAACACATGAAGGTTTTGGCAATTTAATCAATTTCCCAAGTATCACTAACGATATCCAAGACCCAGATTTCACAATGAAGGATGCAACAAGTTTATCATAATATGTGCCTTGTCTTTTGTATCACAATTCCAAATTCAGCTTAAATTTTCGAACACCAACTTTCTATGGCATTAAATTTTTATCAATTTAATATTGAAAATCATGATTAATCACCAGAAAAGTCACCAAGACATGAGATCATATCTATTGAATTCCATCCATCGAACGTTAAAACTAAGTTCATAAAACAGAAAAAAAGAAGTAATAACAATTTCACCTTCTTCTTGGTGGAGAAGAATTATCTATTGGAGATGGCATTGACAAGTTACTATCATCTGAAAGTTGTTTAACTTCTGCAGCTGGCGGTTCAGAGTTCGTATCATCAATCTGTTGCACTTTAGATTCTGAATGGGCCAAAATCAGAGATCCAACAATCTCCAAAGTAGGACAAGCATTCGAAGGCAGCAAAAAAACTCTATCTCCATTTTCTTTAAGGTTCAAGGAGATGAAAAGCTTCTTCAAGTGCTTAATTAAAGACCTCTCAGAAATTCCCTTTATGTCAACGGCTTGTCCATCATCAATCATTTGTAGCAGCTATACAAAATAAAAAGAGAAAACTTTCACAAGAAATACCAAGGAAAGAGAAAACAACTGTCTGAATACCCAAAAGAAAACAACTGTTTGAATCATTTACCTGCTTCAAGTCACCTCCAACGTTAGGAAACTTCTTTAACATCACTTTCACTACATCTTCTGGCTTGACTAGCTGCCCCCGAAGCTCCTCCGAATCGGATCCAGAACTTGACCTGGATTCTGAGTTATAAACCCTTTTCTTCCTTGATTTCCTTCTTTTTCTATCTTTTTCTCTTTCTATTTCTTTTTCCTTTCTTTCTCTCCTCTTTCTTCTTCTCTCTCTCTTCTTCTCCTTCTCTCTTCTTGAAGTCCCATCGCTGCTTCGCCTGTCTTTCTTGTGCCGGAGGCGTCTCTCATCCGAGGTTTCTGATTCATCGTCATCAGAGTTCGAAGGTGAAGTTGGCGTGTCCTCTCTGTGTTTCTTCTTTGTTTTGTTAACCATCTTTTCCAATCAAAAGAGATTATTACAGGAAGGTAAGAAAATCTACATAGAGAATTGGAAGGTGTTAAGAGGTCCGAATATCCCTGCCCGACCCGCTAGCATATTTGGTTGGGGGGCTTCGTTCTTGTTCTGAGCTAGGTCCACGTGATTGAGGTCTCCTTCTGAGATGGATATCCCAGTTGTAGGCACTGCCGTAGCACCTCGAATTCAATTTATAACGGTAAAATTATTAACTCCGATTTGTGTAACAAGCAAAGCTCAATTTTTTGTTTTATAGTTTTAATGTCATGTAAGTCTCAAAAAGTCTTTTTCTCTCTTTTGCCCATTAAAGTGCTATTGCCCTATTTTCTCTCTTCCTAATTTCAATGGTCTCACAAAAGGCTATTGGAGAGAGTCTCATAGACCAACAACAAAGGAAAAATTGTTAAAAAAAAAAAAAAAAACTTCTCTCTCTCTTCTTCTTCCTCTCTCTTCTTGATAAGTCCCAATCGCTGCTTCGCCTGTCTTTCTTGTGCCGGAGGCGTCTACTCATCGAGGTTTCTGATCATCGTCATCAGAGTTCGAAGGTGAAGTGGCGTTGCTCCTCCTTGTCGTTTCTTCTTTGTTGTTAACCATTTCTTTTCCAATCAAAAGAGATTATTACAGGGAAGTAAGAAAATCTACATAAGAGAACTTGGAAGGTGTTAAAGAGGTCGAATTATTTCCCTGCCGACCGCCTAGCCATATTTGGATTGCGGGGGGCTTCGTTCTTGTATCTGAGCTAGGTCCACGTGAATTGAGGTCTCCTTTGAAATGGATTTATCCCATTGTAGCACTGCCCGTAGCACCTCGAATTTCATTTATATAACGCGTAAAATTATTAACTTTCCGATTGTCTGGTAACAAGCAAAGCTTCAAATTTTTTGTTTTTTATAGTTTTAATGTTTCATGTAAGTCTCAAAAAAGTCTTTTTCTCTTCTTTTTGCCCTTATTAAAAGTGGCATTGACCCTATTTCTCTCTCCTAATTCAAAATGCGTCTCACAAAAAGGCTATTGGAGAGAGTCTCATAGACCACACAAAGGAAAAATGTTAAAAAAAAAAAAAAAAATTTTTAAAAAAAAAAAAAAAAAGGTCTTCTATCTGTAGATTCTTCATTAACTTGCAAAGCAACAAGAGAAAAAAAAATATATCTATCTGTATTATTATATTATATAATAAATATGAGAATAGAAAGAATAATGGGATTATCGATATCAACTTTAATGAAATTTAGAATATTTTAAAATAGCCTTAATTATAGTCAATTAGAAAATTACACTTTACTAGTTGGTTAGATATAGTTTTTAAATAAATACATATAAATAATTAATTTCATTTCAAATTTCATCTTTTTTAAATTTATCTTTTTTATATTTTATTTTTTAAAATATTTGGTTTTATTTTGATTATAATTTAAAATATTTTATTTAGGAGAGAGATAAAAAAAAAAGAAAAAAGTATATTCTTTTTTTAATAGTCTTTTTTCTTTATATTTGTATGATTTAATTGGATATATTTTTAAAAAATAAATTTTCAGATATAATATAGATAATATTTTATTTAGGAGAGAGATAAAAAAGAAAATAGTGTATTCTTTTTTTCTTTTTTTTTTGTATGGTTGTAGGAAAATTTAAGGGTTTATTTAAACTGGATAAAATGTTTTTTTATGTAATCTTTTTTTATTAATTAATTAACTTATTTATTTATTTAGATTTACAACTTAGAACAATAGAGAAATAAAATATTTGAATAAATTAGAACAATAGAGAAATAAAATATTTGAATAAACAATCAATATTAGATCTTAACATTATTTGCTTTATAATTTCCATTTATTAACTTGGCTTTAGTCTTTTCTTTTTTCTATCAACATCAAGTTTCATTGAATTATGACATTTTCCGGCCGAAGAAATGGTTGGTTTTTGAAATTTAAATTGGTAATTTTTTAATATAATTCATTTCTTATTATATGTCGACTTCTAAAAAGAGTTTTATTCTTAATGTTAATTTTTTTATTTTTTATTTTTTTCATTACTAAATTAATTTGTAACTACTATCATTTTAATTTAGTAAGAAATTTAATTTTCCTTGCAATAAATAGATGGCATCTTGATTATTAAGTATTTTTAATTTTCTTGATATTTTTTTCTTTGATATTTTCTTCTAATATTTCTATATACTGTTTGACTTTGAAAGAAAATAGTTGTTTATTGAAAAACTTAAAAAAAAAAAACTTAAAGTATATATTATATTTGGGTCACTTTTTAGAGTTTCAAAGAATTTGTGGTGTCTTCTTATACATATATTCCTTTCTCTAATGCATTGGGTGGGTAAGTAATTACTGGACACTATAGCTCAACCGAATTACTATTTTATCAATTCAGCATTTATTCATTTCTCATTTTTTTTATTTACTTAGGCAGTAAAAAATTAATTTATTTAGGTATTTTTCATTATATATATATATCATATTATATATTAATTTGGCGGTTGAAGCAGTGGTTTTGAAGGATTGAATTGATGATATATATATATATATATATATTAATTTGGGGTTGAAGGCAGGGTTTGAAGATTGAATGATGGCTGAATTTTCGTTTTTGGCACTATTAGGGTTTAAATAATCTGCATTTATAAATTAGAGACTTAAGGATTATGTTTAGAGATTAGGTTGAACTTTATTTTGAGATCAATTCATTATGTAAAAATAAAATTAAGTAGATAAGAAGTAGCATTACAAGTAGCTTGACAAATTAACTAATTGCATTTATTTTAATCTAAATAAAAACTTTAATATTATATATATATAAATTAAAAGAATAAATAAAAATAGAAATAACGAACATAGTCAACGTGCAACGCGTGCCATAAAAAAGATAGTAGAAAATAAAAAAAGGAACATCACAGAGTGGGTACTATCTTCCAAATGGATAAACATTAAGAGAGTTACCTAAAAATTTAGTTTTTAACTTCGATGTCATATCATATGTAAAATGCTCCAAGCGGCGACTCTGGTTTGCTCATGGAAGGAGGCATTTTGATTTTTAAATGGATAAGATTTTGATCTTAGTGTGTAAGAGTTCTTGAAAACTATAAAAAAAAGAGCAATACCAACCCTTTTGATAGAAGAAGAAATTGGTAGTGCTCCTTTTTTATATTTTTTTTTAGTTATTAGTAAAAATAAAAAAGTTTTTTTCTTTATTCAATAAAAATAAAAATATATATATAATTTAAAGAAAAAGGAAGGATATTGTGTTTTATGGGAAAAAGCTTGTGTGTAGGAGTACGATTAGGGCAGATCAAGAAAAGAGAAGAATAGCAAGAAGAGGCTTTGATGAAAATAGTTGTAGAGGACTAAATGACGATCAATTATTCAATGCTAGAGGTAAGAGGGGTTATGGAAAAAAGGGGAAAGAGAATTTGAGGAGAGAGAATTGGGCATGAGAGATAAAAAGAGAGATAAGTTTCACACTTTTGAAGGCTTACATGGCATTAGAAACAAAGAAATAGCTAAGCTGGCACGCACTGTCAGTTTTCCGGCGTCTCTTCCTTGAAAATCAAATAAAAATGTCTTTCTCGTTACAGAAATTAGAATTAAAAAATTTTCCTGTTACAAATTGAATTCCATGAATGATATTATGATAGTCCCTACAGTTGAGGGACATCGGATGAAATTAAGCCCAAATGGATCAGATTTTAACTTTATGCTTATAGCAGGGAAATTGTAGCATATGTCAGATTTTTAAACTTTAATGTAAAAAATATTACTTCTATTGATACTATTACAATAATGTATCTCTTATTAGTGATTTACCAAATTACCCTTTTATATTACTATCCAAATTATTTTTATTTTGTGTTAATTATAAATTTAGTGTCTTAGCTTTCAAAAATTTTCTATTTTAATGTCTCAACAGAAAACGTTTGCAATCAGGTGTTTAAACACAAAAAAATTTTCAATCAGTTGCCTCTAGCTTACGTAGCGAGTCGAAAATATAAATAGGAAAGAGATGTTGTGCCACAATTGATTTTTTTTGCTGACATGGATTGAATGTTGACATGGCACCTTCTCTAATTCTTTCCTTCCTTTCTCTCTCTCTCTCTCTCTCTCTCTCTCTCTCTCTCTCTCTCTCTCTTTCTCTCTCTCTCTCTCTCTTCTCTCTCTCTCCTCTCCCTCCATCATTCAACCCCTTCACCATATCTCCCCCGTCGTTCACCCTCATCTCTCTCCCTCTCCCCCATCCCCCCCTGAACACTCCTCTCTCTCTTTCACTACTTACAACCCGCCAAGCTTCCCAAAAAACAAAATGAATGCTGACATTCTCTCTCTCTCTCTCTCTCTCTCTCTCTCTCTCTCTCTCTCTCTCACTACTTACAACCCGCCAAGCTTCCAAAAAACAAATGAATGCTGACATGGATATGAACGCCATTTCCACTTGCAACCCTCCAAGCTTCCAAAACAAATAAATTCAAATCATAACCAGAAAAAAGGAGAACGAAACGGTTGTTACAGATTCTAAAGTAATCTCTCAAATCGAGGTGGAGGAGTCGCCATTGCAACCTGACCAACAGACAAATAAAAACCAGGCTCTTGTGTCTCTTAGTAGGCAATCCTCAATCTATTCTCTTACCCTCGATGACTTCCAACATACACTTTGTGAGAGTGGCAGGAATTTCGGTTCCATGAACATGGATGAGTTTCTTACCAGTATTTGGAATGTAAAAGAACATCAAGCTACTACGATTCGATACGCTGTTGAGGAGAAGTAGCAAAAACCGCAAAAGCCATTGATTTTCCATCTGGTTTTTAAACCATAAAATCAAGAAGAAACAATAACACTATTTAATGAAAAAATCTCAACAATTAAAGATATGAGATAGAAAAAATCTCTTTATAAATATACCAGAAATGAACGAATATAAATATTTCTGTTAGCTGAAGCGTTTCTAATAATGGGTCTATAGATATGGCAATCTATTGATATGTATATGTGCAAAGAAGGAAAGAGAGAGGAGGTGAGCTTGGAAAATGGAAAGGAAAGGAAAAACACAGTTTATTTGCCTCGATGAAAATGAACATAAATGGTGGTTCCAATAGAGAGAGAGAGAGAGAGAGAGAAAGGAAGGAAAAAATGAGAGTGAAAGAAGGTGCCATGTCAGCAAAAAAAAAAATCCATTGGGGCATAACATCTCTGTTCTATTTGTATTTTCAGTTTGCCATGTAAGCCGGAGACACCCGATTGAAATTTTTTTTGAGGTTTAAACACCTAATTATAAACGTATTCCATTGAGATACTAAAAGAGAAAATTTTCAAAAGTTGAGACACTAAATTTATAATTAACCCTTTTATTTTTTATTTTCTATTTGGACTAGTTTTAACATACTGTTTGTTATTAACATTCCATTTTTTTCGTTTCTTCTTCTTCTTCTTCTTCTTTTTATTTTAACGGCAACTGTGAATTCTACCTGAGGCAGCAGGCCGTCGCGTTAGAGTTGTTGTCACAGGCGATCACTTCACCGAAAAATCAAGCTTAATTGTGGAGATCGATTCACCATTTTTTTTCGTTTCTTCTTCTTTTTGTTCTTCTTTATGTATTTGACTGTTTACAGTTGATTTGATTCCGTTTAGATTTCGTTTTTCTTGCCTATTTTACAATCAATATGATTTTGGTTTTATTCAATTTTACTTTTTTCTCTGTCGGTGTTGGCTGCGATTCCAGATTTTTATAGATTTTAGGTTTCAAATGAGTAATTTTGTTGATTATTATATAATTTTTTTGCATTTCGCATAATTGTGTTTGATGGATTTTCTAGGATTTTTCTTTTAATTTTGTGTGTGTGTGTACATATACCCTATTTATTTCGTTTGATCTAATGTATTAATTGATTTATATACATATATACCATATATTTATGGGTGTGTGTGTATATATATATTCTGTATTCAATGTGTTAATTGGTATATATTTTTACAATATCATATTTATCGTTGATCAGAAACATACTTTTTAGTGGTTTGTTTCTTCAATTATGGAAATAAAACATTAGATTTTGTTTTATAGTTGTCTAAAAATGCCAGTTAGAACTTTTACTTTCGATGTCTAAGGTTTATGCGTCATGGTGATCAAAGGATTGAAGATAGTTTTTGTCGGTTTGAAGAAGATTTTCGTTTGTAGGTGACATCGCTTGTGAGTGTTTGTGTGTGACGTGGATTCATTATGATATTACTTTGGGGTTTATTATTTTATTTTATTTTATTAAAAATGACATTCAATTAATTTTAAAAGTTTTTTGATATTTTGTTAATATTAAAATTTAATTCGTGACATTTATTTATTTATTTATTTGAAATATAATTCATTAATAATAATACCAAGAATGACAAATAAGCATATAGACTAGACATAGAACTTTATTATTAGTAGCTACTAGAGTTCGTTGATCTTTTAATGAAATAAATTTTTGAATAATGAAATTAAAACTAAAAAATATAATATTAGATCTTTTCTCTTGAAGGCAATCTTGATAAAAGATATATATCTTCATATCAACAACTAGTCCGTTAATTGATTTGAACGTCGAAATAATAACTCATTTGGATCTTCTATAATTGGATTGTTTTTCCAATAATTTGCAACATATGATGAATACAGATGAGTTTCCGCCGCTATGCATCAATAGTATCAATGGAAAAACGAGCCGCACTACCAGGCTCCATTGATTGAAAATTCACACTTGCAAATCAAGATCTAAAGTCTCCAATCAAATAAAATCAAATATCATAATTTATTTAGTGATAAACTGAAACGACCTGAAAAATTATTTTCAAAAATTTTTTATTTAAAAGTTTAAATATAAATTCTAAACCAATTATATTATAGGGCATTATTATATTTAATAATAATCAAGTCAATGTATTGTAATTTATTTAACAAATTTATTGTAAATATATTTTATATTTGCTAAACCAAATCCTAAATTAAACTAAACCCTTTGAAAACCCATAAATCAATTGAAAAACCAAGCTAAAACCATGATTTGAACCAAACCAGACTCGAATTGACGCAGACCTCATTTGACCAATGAGAAAATTCTAGAAAAAAAAATAAAGAGAAGAGAAAAAGAAAGAGACCAGCGTCTCTCTCTCTCTCACCATTTTCTCTTCCCCTCCCCTTTCTTCCCGTTTTCCAGCCAAACGGCCACAATTTCCGGTGAGTGAGGGCTCTAAAATCATCTACTCGTCGCAAGGAGTTCGATTCAAGCATTGGATTGCGTGATTTGAGTCCGGAACGAGAGAAAACTCGACCGAAAGGGTGCGATGCCATCGTAGCAACTTTCCTGGCCATTCATGCCATTTTCGGCGACCTGAGGCTTCAAGGTAGGTGTCGATCGATTCCTCTCCTCTCCCTCTTTCATTTGACTGCTTCGTTGTTGAGTATGGTGGCCGAAATGGTTCACACTCACCTTGATATGATCACACATTAGTGATCCTCTCATTGAGACAAATAAAATGATGTATTATTTGTTAATTTTGGTGAAGGTTAGATTTCTAACAACCGTGCACGGTGGCAGGTGGTGGGGGACCGGTGACTGGCCGGCGAGGCTCCAAAGGCAAAATCTTCTCCTCTTCCCGTTGATCTCGAATATGTAATCCAATTTTTCATTGGTAAACCTAAAATCCAATGCATTTTTCCTCTAGAAATCAATTTGAATTTATTTCCTTATTTTACAATTATTTGATGAGATTAAATAAAAGTTGTAATTAGTTAAAAAATTGTTTAACTTGGTTAATCCATTAAGAACCTAGATTACTATAGGGTAAGAATATTATTTTTGGTACCTTAAGGGCTAACAAGAGATTAATGGAAAGCTAAGTATTTTAATAGAAATTGCTAATTAGGTATATACGTATTATCATGGTATGAACTGAATCCGTGAACATACCTTTGCTTTGAGTTGGGATTAATTGTTGATATAAATAAATTGATTCAAGTTGATTTAATGATGACATAATGGAGGATGGGCTTTGATTAAGGATTTGCCTGATGGATGGGCTGTGTGTGATGTGTGCGATGTGTAAAATTGGAATAGTCTAGTTTATAGAGAAAATGCTGCCGAATTTTCGGCAAAACACTTAATAAAAAACTAAATTAGTTGTATCCGTAATAGGTGGTAATGACTAAAATTTTTAGTATTATTATTATTATTATTATCATCATTATAAAATTTTACTTACCAAATAATTAGAAGCTTTATTAAAAGTTATTAGTTAGAATAAATAAATAAATAAATAAATAAATAAATAAATAAAGAAACAGTGTATATATATAGTTTAGTTCGATAAGTTAAATAAGTGATTAGTAACCAAAAATAAATAAAATATTATTAAAAATTTGAGTTTGGAAAGGACAGTTAGAATTCATGAATAATAAACTTATTTTGGTTCTTTCTTTAGACATTATTGCAGGTTCAGAGGAATTAATGGATGAGTAACCGGATGGCGAGAGAGGAGCACAACTTCTAGCTAAACTATAAAACTGTGAGTAATGTTAGATAATTCGCATCATCCATCTGCATTTGCATATGTGCGTTCACAACTAAATGTTAGCCATGCATTACTTATTAAATTGTTATTTTGTGTTGCATTAGTTGTTGCTATTGGAAATGATTTGATTAGTTGTGACGTGCTTTATATTTGCTTTGCTTGTGTGTAGTTGGGATGAAGTGGGTCACCATAGGTTTGTGAGACAGTACTGGAAATGATGAAAATATGAAATGCAACCGTCGGCTAGGTATGGGGAGATTGGCACCCCCGTGTGCACTTGGTGATATGATATAGATGATATAGAAAATCACAGGGTGGCCTCCTATTCGTATGGAAAAGAAAAGAGAGTATAAAAAAATGATGAAATGAATGAAATGAAAGATGAGAGGGCTGGTCAAGTGAGGTTGAGATCGGTCGACCATGTATGGGGAATCGGCTACCTGGTGCACACGTGATGAGAGGGCAGGCCATGAGTGAGGACGGCTCGTCGAGGGATTTGGTGACGCCACTGATCAATTTCCACGTGATGTGATTCCATGAGTGAGGACGGCTCGTCGAGGGATTTGGTGACGGCAACTGATCATTTCCAGTGATGTGATTATGTTAAGGTGTTTTAAATATTTTGTCCTGGTGCACACGTGATGAGAGGGCAGGCCATGAGTGAGGACGGCTCGTCGAGGGATTTGGTGACGCCACTGATCAATTTCCACGTGATGTGATTATGTTAAGGTGTTAATATTTGTGTTTGTTATTGTTTTATCATTTGTTTGATGGACTGTATGATCATATAACTAGTCAAATGACTAGATTGGTTTATTTATGCATTGTGTGATTGTGTGTGAGGTGAGAGGGTTATCTAATCCTACTCATTAAGTTTGGCGCTCACCCTGCCTCCTTATTTTTTTTCAGGTACTAGAAGGTAAGAAGAACCCTTGGATCCAACCAAATCACATACAAATATAGAAAATTAATAATAGTTGTTAAGCATGTAAATGTAAAAGATTGTAAATAATGGAGTTTCGCAATTGTATTCCAAATGGGTTGTAATTGAATAATATGACCATATACATTAATTATATGAATTGTATTTTTAATACGTTTGTGGAATAAAGTTATTAGACCTGAAGCCACAACTATAAATAGAATATGAGTTTAACTAATATAAGATTACTACGGGCCTCAGAGGACTTAAGTCCACACAGGTCCTAATGTCGGTCCGACCCTTAGAGACGAGTCGTGACATAAACCCTCATAAAGAAGGGACAAAAAAAAAATCCAAATATGGAGACAACCAACAATAACAAAATAAAAAAGGAAGATCTATTGTAGCAAAAACACATGTGAATTTCTTAAAACAAAAGAAGATTAAAAGCAAAAGAGGGTGAAGCAAAAGAAATAATAAAAAGTAGGAGGTATGTGCTACCGCTGATAAATAGTATGAGCCCCAAACTAAAATTAAGGTTAGAAAACTGTTTGTGACATATATTAAGTTACCATCATAAAATAAAAACCAAAGTAACCATAATGAGTCCTTGTCATACCTAAACCCTTACAAATGATGTTATCTACAAATGGAAATCTTCTGCAAACTAACAAAACTACCCTCACTACTACCCTCACTACTTCGATCACCACGACGCATAAACCTATAAATCAGAAACAAAAATTCTAAGCATCATTTTCAAGCAACTATAAATAAAATTTGTGGTTTCGTTTCCATAATCAAAGAAACAAACATTTAAAGACTATATTTTTCTATTTAAAAGAAAAGTCCTAGAAAATCAATCAAACACAATGCCTCAGAATGCAGAAAGAATTCATAAAATAGTCAATAAACTAACCCACTAGAAATCTAGAAGTCTATAAAAATCTGGAATCTGCCAACACCGATAGAGAAAAAGACAAGTAAAAAGGAATAGAAAATTAGAATTAACTTGATTGTAAAATAGCTCAAGAAGAACGAAATGTAAACAGAATCAAATTGATACAGAAAAAAGAACATAAAGAAGAGGAAGAAGAAGAAGAAGAAATGAAAAATACAATGAAGAGCGTTGCAATCAAGCTCACATTTTCAATGAAACGATCACCCGTGACAACAACTCTCACGCTAGTCCTACCGCCAGAGGTGAAATTCACACATGCTATTGAAACAGGAAAAAGAAGAAGATAAAAAATAAAAATAATCTAGATAATAATATAAAATGGCAATTAGGTAATTACCAATAAAAGATATATTATTTTAATAATTTTAGTTAAAGTGACATTTTTTAAACTATAGTTTAAAAATTTGGCATATTCTATAATTTTTCTATTTTATTTTTGACAAAAAATTATACTCTCTTAATTTTTAAAATTTGTCGACATTTTATACATATTAGAATTTAATTTTTGACATTTATTAATTTGCCCCGTACAACAACAAAATCAAAGAACAATAATATTTGCACAATCAAATCCAATATTAATGTTTGTATAATAAAAAACTAATTGTCTTTGAAAAAAACTTATATAACAACAAATCATTATCAACATTTGCTCATTCCATTTCGTACATAATAAAAAATATTTACTTTAATTCAAAGCTAAAAACTTTTACCAGGAATCAGAAATCCATTAATCACTTATTTAAAATGAACAAGATAGACAGTTCCATGATTCAAAAGAAGACTAAAAACAAATATGAAACTTATAATGCTAAAAAAGAGATAAATTTTGTTTGTATAAAATCTTTATGACCTTTAAATAATATAATAAAAACATATAAGGAAACCCCATATACATGAGAATCCAAAATTCAAAAGCTAGGAATGTCAAAATGGGTTGGTGTGTCGGGTTCAACACGAATCCACCTAACACAGGACATGATTATGTTCAACATGAACACTACCTGTTTAATGATCGCATCAAATGTTTAAACATGAACATGACACGTGTACTCATTTAATTAAATGGATCATATATGAATCAAAAATTTTAATTAAATTTCATTAAATGGGTCGTATATAGGTCAGAAACAGGACACATATAACCCACATAACCCGTTTAATACACACACACACACACTATTTAAACTCGTGTTATATACGGGTCACCCATTTGTGACACGAACCTATTTAGACTCAACCGTAATCTGTTTAATTTATATGTTAAGGGAATCGTGTTTCCGTGTAATGACCCATTTTGATACCCTATCAAAAGCTAACTAGCTACCTTTACTTTGTTCACTAGAAAGGAAATACAAATAGAATAATACAAGCACATGTTTGTTCATCACCCTCTCAAAAAATTAAAAGGATAATCATATTCAACAATAATTAAAATGATAATCATATTCAATGATAATTAAAAATCCCATAAAAATAAAAAATCTCGAAATAAAGTACCTGAATTTTTTGTATTTTAATTATAGATCACCATGAGTATTGGACCGATTAGGGATTGAATGTGCAAACGGTAGACTGATAATTGATAAGTACACTTGAGAGAGAGTAGAGTATGATTTGTGGCTTTAGGCTTTAGAATGAAAATTAAAACGACTTAGCTTTATATAGGTTCAAAATTAAAATAACCTAGTTTTATATAGGTTCAAATCCAATTCGCTCTCACCAATCAGCTCGTCAGCTAATAAATGAAGCTCTCATTTATTAATCACTTGTCATTGCTCCTTTTTTATACTCATACTTTATTTTCTTTATAATGCAGTCAAAATTTTTTATTTGATACATACAGGAGACCTAATGAGATGGAAAAATATTGTGGGCTACACAATAGGGTTAGCAATACCTTTTGAATAATATTCACCAAATTGGTAATAAACTTTATAGTGGAGAGGGCTCAAACTCGAGACCTTCTACTCCTCAAATCTTTCTACAAGATGTAGGAAAACCAACCAAATCACATCTGATTGGTATAATGTAATCTAATTATGCATCATACTTCAATCCCAGCAAAATGTCTATATGCATATATAAGTTTCTGCTAAAAATTTATTATGCAATTAAGAATGAATAAAAAATTCACTTTCTGCCTAGCAAAGTGTTAAAAATATGGGATCGAGGAGTAATTAGTGAAATTTATTTACAATTAACAATTCATTTAATGATTGAGCTTATAATGAAAGGCTCACCTTAGTTGGTTCACCTTCTTCATCATATCTCATTTACTCAATTTATATTTAACCAATGTATGATTACCCATATACTTCTACACAAAATAATGTAAAAAAGCAAAAAAAAAAAAAAAAAAAAAAAAAAAAAAATGTAAAAAAGCAAAAAAAAAAAAAAAAAAAAAAAAAATTATTTTGTATATATTCCATTATTGTGGTTTGCAAACTGATGAAGGGTAAAAGAAATTTAAACAACGTAATACCTAAAATTTTTTTAATTAATTCTAACAATTTCTTTAACAATTTTATTCTTATAAATATGTGTTAATTTAATTAATGTATATATATAATAGGTAAATAAATCATCCAATTCAAATTTTTTTAAAATTATTAATTTTCAACTTTGTTAAAGAGAAAATGAATTTAAGGAAAACAGGATTACCAATTTAACGTTGAAAAACTTATATATATTTATATATATAATATATATTTATATATTATATATTTATATATTGTAATAAATATACAATATATACAAATATACAAATATTTTATAGTTACATTATATTTTTTTTAAATTAAAAAAATTAATATACATTATAATTTCCTTATCACTTGTCTAATTAAAAATCTTTAGATATATAATCAAATATTAATTATACTGTTAACACGTTAAAAATTTAAAATTTTTAATTTGATTATTTAAAATATTTTTAAGCATTGATTGGACTGATCAAGATTTGTGGTTTCCTTTACTAATCGGCTCCTTGTGCTGTAGTCTTGGATGAGTTTTGTGGGTCCGATTCTGTCTTGGGATGATACTTACTTTAACTATTCAGAATATGGGGACTCTCAATCTTACTTTTTTGAAGGATTACTCACTGGACACTCAAGTTGTTCAGTGATAATGGTTTCTTGATTTTGGAATTGCAAGGACTAGAGAGTTTGACTAGCTTCATCTGTTTTTCAAAACTTGTTCATTTTCTCTGTTGATCGATAGGGAAGATTTCTAAACATATAAACTGAATTCAATGCGACTTTTAGGTATCTTTAGTAACTTGAAACATATATTTTTGCCAAGGGAGGTGGGTAATATTGCCTTCAAGATGCCCCCATTCTTTGAAAATCAATATTGTTTGACTTAAAGGAAGGGTAGTTGCTAGCATGATGCTCCCATTTTTCTGCTTATATTTACCAATTCCTTCTTTTCCTTGTAAATAGAATTGCAGTGCAATTTTCTCTTTCATACCAAGTAGATCAATTTTCAAACTTGAGCATATGACCAAAGCAAAACTTAGACTTCAAACTTGAAACTGTAACATCCCAAATTATAATTGGTCCCGTTATGATTAGATAAATAGGCACCACATCTTCATATCGGAAGGCAACCAAGGACTAACCATGGCTAATTACTGACTAAACCTAAACATACAACATTACACTTTACATTATTATTATTTTACTACTTTCCAAAATGACTTAAGAAAATTTTTTGAGAAATCTTGCGTAAAACTGCAGAGTTGCCGTTACATATTTCAATAATTCCTAAATTTTCAACACTTTATTAAAAACACCTCCAATAATTTCATTACACTCAACCAACTCCAAACATGCTCAACCCATCATCATTGATCAATCGATCAATCATCGGACATCAAACACCATCTCATTAAAGATCCACAAGTAATTCATACTCATATTCATTTCTAAATATTTAAAAATACTTAAATCATTTCCATTTCCACACAATTAATTCTCAACTTTCAAATTCTAACATAAGCTAATTGTGGTACTATCATACTTAATTTTACAAAATCTCATTCATTCATATAAGACACTTTAGGTATTTGATTTATATTAAAATGCCGAACATAATTAAAAGAAACGAAAAATTGGACTAATCAAAGGCTAATGATTTGGAATTTCGACTCTCTGATGATAAGTATCTGTTATAGTTCAGATCTACTAACCTGCGGGAATGTTGACTTTGCATTAAAGGGCTCAGTAGTGCTTCATATCCT